AGATAAATTATGTATAGCGCGATGTCAACTATAGAATTAGTGGATAAATGTGCAGCACAATCCCATCTGTACAGCTGTATCAAAGTCCATTCATTTCACCTTCTTGCAAGCATAAAACCCATCCAAGCTTTGACAGGACTGTAAAGGTTAGAGCAGGTGACTGCTACAGGCTCCCGATCTGCCAGGGACTTGCCTTGTAGGCTCTGGCATATCACAACCTATTTAAAGGAAAAATAACTTTGTAACTACAATAGTACACAGTGAAATTTCACTTAATAATGATTATAAAGTGCTTTAAGAACAGAAGTGGTAGTTTTGGACATAAAAAACATATCCTTCTGTTTTCCAGCAACTATATTTTACTGTCACCACATCATTATGGAAAACCATGATGACTTCCTTGTTTACCAAATAGGTTATATATTGCATGAAAACACTTAAAGTTGAAAAATCATAATGCTAACTGCAACCCCCAAATAGCAGCTCAAAAAGTCCCAAGTTAAAAGGTGATTTCAGCTTACAAAAAAATCCTAAAATCTACTAAAGCTGGTTAAATCTAGTCCTACTTCATATGGTCAGGGTCTTTAAGCAGAGATTTATTTGCATATGAAATGGCTGCTGCAATGTTTTTTCCTTTCAGATTAACTAGCAAGCATTGCCATGTCACATTGCCATAACATCCAGAGACACTGGAAGAAACTTTTGCTGGGTGCATATGCATTGCTCGCCAGTTCCTAACTCTACATCACCTCTGCCAGAAGTTGATAATCTCTGGGGATCATATGCCACTATGTAGCATATGTCCCTCTGTGTAGCATGTTAGGCATCCACATAAAGATACATGCAAAATCTGAAAATCTAGACCAAGTAATTTTCTTTATGTAAGATGCCAGCCAAAAGATAAGCATCTCGGACACTGCCTCATGCTCCCACAGGCTTTCTTACATTTCTCCACAGTTTACTATGCACCACGATTTCCAAATCTTTGCAATTATGCATAAAGGCAATCTATTTCCTACAATCTACAGTAATCTTTCTTTTTCTACTGCCCACAAGATAAAACAAAGAAGAACTTAACAGAAATATAATCAACTTTACATTACTTACACTATAGCTTGAAATAGTGCACACAGAATTGGCCATCAATTCAACCTAAATATGAGCACTCCCTCTGTTTTCCACCAGGTGTTTCGAGGCAGAAGCAGCTTATGAATGAGTACTTACTGTTTTAGCTTGTAATTAAGGCAATCATCATTTTCAGAGATAGCAGAAAATTCAGGGAGCAACCATTTCAAGATCTGCATGAGAGGAGTCTAAAATGAATGTCTTGTCTATGATAAGGAACCTAATTCTGTGAGAATGAAATCTAAAGTATGTTTGGAGAACCGGGCCCCTCTTATTTACTTCCAAAGGGCTATAAAGGGGCAAAATTTAACCAATACATCTGTACAACTTGATTGGAATCATATGTAGATTTGAACTATGGCAACAGAAATCAAATCTTTGAGGCAAAGGTGGCCAAACATTCAAGAAAGATATAAACAAAGAGTAATAAATAGGAACAAGGAGGTGATTTTCTCTCTTGTACTGGTAACGTTAATACTGGAAAGTCAGTCATCAGTTTAAGATCACATTTTTAAAGAATATTGAGCAACTAGAGAGGATATATTTAAATGGAAATACGTTTAGTATTGATTGCAGGAATGTTCTATTTAAAAGATGAGCACCATGCAAAGCATAAGCACAGTATTTATTTGTAAGGCAGTAAGGTCTTTAGGTTGTGACCATAATTTTATTAGCAACATCGTGCCTGGTAGAATGAAACTGAAGCCTTGTATTCTAATATAATACCAGCCCAACCCACCCCAAACTTTCAAGGCAATAGAAAAATAATATCCTTTCTGTTACTAAATAAGGACTATGCACAGGTTTCCTGATCAAAGGTGATATTTCAGAAAATTGAAGATGACCATCAAAAAAAAAAAAAAAGGGTAAATGAAACCATTTTTGAAGCTTATTCACTGCTTGTAAAATACTACAGACACTTAAGATACTTTCCTATGATTTCAGGAGCGACCAGTAGTTTTCCATTTAGCTATGCATCATAGTCATTGCAAAAATACATGCAAGAGCTCCAGAAACTGCAACACCTTGCATCTTTAAAGTCATAAGTATTTCATTTAACAATTATACACTGTAATGAACTTCAGTACAGCATATATATACAGGTGTATAGGAGAGACACTGCAATATTCTTGCATGATTTAATACATGACAGAAATTCACAGTTCTATAAACAATTAAGAAAAGCATCAGAAACATTGGCAAAGAGTAAAGGGTCTTGGCATGGAAGTACCCTCATGCTTCACCTAAGCACCAGTACTGCCTTCCTATGAACATCAGGTTTGGCATCTCTGATTATATGCAAACATTTTTCTACAGTAGACTATCATGCCAGTAATTGTCATCCCAGGGAGAAAAGAAGGAAAAAATTAGCCACTAACACCCTCCCCCTCCCCAAAAAAGAAAACAAAAAACCCACAGATACATAGGAAAAGAGGTACTTAAAAGTCAATGCGTCTTGAATAAACCTGTTGAAGGTACAGGAAGGGAACTGCATTTCACTATCAAAACTTTAAATGAGCTCCAGTGACAGACCCTTTCAAAGGCGGGAAAACCTCCACAGAGATTGTGATTTGCACAGGTCAGAAAGGTGACTAGTCAGTGTACATATTTTATAGAAAAACATGGGGAGGAGGGTGGAGAGAGGAAGATGTAATGACCCAGATTGTCTCTCCACTCTCAAACTCTTCCTGGGCAATTTCTACCAGCTTGAACATCAGATGGGGCATTATATACACATACATGTAGTACACACATACATATGCACACACTACTGTTCTGCTTTTTATCATCCTGTGCGGCCCTAAGAGTTCATCACTAATAGTCAATTACTTAAACTCACTGCTCCAGAAAGAACAGAATTTTCCCCAGGTTAAACAAATAAGTAGGGAAATAATACGAAAAAAGTGGCAGAATTTGAGTGTATTTTACTTTCAAATCTATTTCCCATTTTTCCCACTGTATGCTATGAAGAATTGATATTTCACATTATGGCAAAAATCACAGTGTCAGTATCCATGCCAATTCCTTGCAACCCCAGCATTGGTCTTTCTATCACTTCTTCAGGCCTGATGCAAAAGTCAAAAACCTGTTAGAGAGTAAATTGTTTTCTATAATGATTTGTATATTTGTGGAAGTAGAATCAATACCTCAAATTACTATAGATAAGGATAATAAATCGGGGACAAATGACAGTTATGTAAAGGACCTACTCGGTATACAGCTAGCATTACTCTTTAAATGGTTGTTTTCTGCAAAATTTTTAAGTGACTATATTCCTAAGGAAGAATAATCATTTATTCAGATGTGTTCTGAATTCTTCATTCAGGTATCAGGGACAGCAATTTTTCCATGTTCAAATTGAAGCATATTGGCCAGGTGGATGAGACAACATAATAGTATATGCTGAAGCTTATCATATATTTCCTTATAAATTGTACTTATTAAAAGGCATTACATCATAGGACACTAATATTTCATCTTCCTTTACATTGGAAAATTGATTCAGAGGTGAATAGTGATTTTTGAGTGCGAAACATAATTTCACAGTAAGTTCCTAACAGTTAGTAGGCAACAAATTATATCCACCATTTAGTTTTTTTCCAATTTAAATTACCACAAAAATTACAGTAAAGCTTTCTCAAATAACCCGATATTTAAAAAATGAATCGCCTTTCTCAATTGGCGCAGTTTCAAGAACCATAGCAGGAGACACAACCGTAAGATTTTTATAAAGTCATTCAAAAGAAACAACTTTGATCAAGATAAAGGACTCAGATGATTTAAATAAAATTCTGTCCACTATAAGAACTATAAAACAGACAGATTCATTAGCCTACATCTTCCATCACTGCTTTGATGGTGAGTTACTGTTCAAGAGAATAATTTTGATCAGGAAATGAAGACAAGGAGATTCTAATATTTGGGAAATGACATATTCTGGTAAACTAAGATAAAAACTGCAGGAAGAATGTAACTAGGAGTTCAGATAAACTGATATACAAAATAATGAGTACACATACAGTCTTTAATACGCCCACCTAAGTGTCCTCCTTTATCACGGGGACAGAAAAAAATCCATTTCAACACAAAACAGATAGTACAGAAGATAGGGCTAAATGAACTGTTGCCATCTCTTACACATTCAGATATGAGATGTGTGGTTTGCCCACACCTAAACATCCTGCTGACTCAGGAGGACAACAGGGACTTCACTATGAGAATAGGACGAAACCAGAACTGCGGAGACAACAAACCTGCCTTACTTTAGGACTGAGATGGATTGATGCTCTCTAGATAGAAATGGGTGTGCTGATGCAAGTATGGTACTGGACCTCAGCCACGAGGAAATGTCAATTTACAGAACAAGTGATATTTACAAGGTAACAGTGGCATCAACTCAAACATGGCAGGAATGATGGCTTTAATCCTTTCTGTAGTGGGCTCTGAAAGAACAAATGGAAGAGTACACTAGAAAACACCAAGTTAGCCATGACATTTCCCCAAAAGTGATGAATGATGCAAGAGATGTAGGAAAAAAGATCCTTCTCTTTTCATTCCCATGCACTGCAATAGGTTTTTGGAACAGGGCTGACCCAATGAATTATTCATACAAGTTAATTACTAGAACCAGTAAGTTCTATCAGCATCTAATAATATGAAATATTAATAACATCTAATAATACAGAATCAAGGATGCTGCTGGCCTGTTTGATCCCAGTTTAGATCAGGTTCTACTTTCTAAAGTATGCAGAAAAGCAAAGAAGTTATTCAGTAAGGTTGTATTAAAAATCAGATTGGCCCATTCTGCAGTAATTAAGTCTCAGTGATTTTACAAACAATTATGTGTATACAAAAAAAAACTAAAAGAGGCAGCATAAGTTTTCTGCCCTATTACATAACATTTTTATTTGCGATACTTAAAGCTAAACTTGTACAAGGTTGTACACTTCACATTGAAAGAACTGTTCATTAGCTTAAAAAGAAATGAACAAAACATTAGAAACATTAAACTTATGGTCCCTTTTGTAATTTTTGTGTAGTCAGTATCAATATATCAGCTCAAAGCTTTTGACAGAGGTGAAAAATCTTAACAATTCAAATATAGACCACAGTGCCCCCTTTTGGACCATCTGTGATTGGTACCAAGTTTGTGTCTATACGAATCTCAAATGCAAAAAATAAACTCAACTATATAGAAATGTGAAATTACAGCCGTTAGTAAAGAATTAGATCTTTAAATGATAAAGATAAATTAGATTGGAACCATATATGTGTGTGTGTATATATATATATATATATATATATATAGTTAAAGACAAACAAATAAACATACATGACTGTTTAATTCAAAAAAAAAAAAATCACATTTTTACATAGAAGAAATATTACATTCCAACCTACCAGTATGGCTTTTTCCATGAACAAATGGGTGTTTTCAGGGAGCAAGAGAGAGAGAGAGAGAGAAAACAAGAAAAACCTCAAACTTAGTTGTCTTAAAAAATTAGCTATGTTAAGGAGAATTGATATCAAGAAATGAGGATGAGATTTAAGTGAAATTTATAACATCAAGATAGACACCACTATCATTTTGTTTTGGAAGACAGTTCACCTTCACTTTTATTATTGTCATAACTGTGGCAGCATATTTCACCAGTGAACTTTTTAAAATATTGAAAATAAGGTGTCTTTAACTCAATAAACTGAAACGCACCTGAGCAAAGCGCAATTAAAATTCAAAGGCTAAAGAAAGCTTTTAGCTGAACTTGATTTTGGCTTGTGGACATGCAAAAATTTAAAAAAATAAATAGCTTTTGGCACTTATCCACAGTAAGCTGTAAGGTGGTTTAATAAAAGACAGCTAATAAAAGTGATCAGCTCACAATGAAACTGTACAAGCCATTAGTTCACATTTAAACAATAAATCTGATTGCAGTTTTGAGCACATAAACATAACTTAAAATCCTATTTCATTCAAATTTGAAAAACTATATTGATTTTAAGTAGTTTAAATACATTCACTCCCAGTCAAAGCTTTACAGTAACTGATGATTTTCAATCACACACACAACCAAGTCATAAATCCCTGAAACATGGATTTATTATAGGAATACTGGTAAAACCTTAACAGAGATACAAATGATACATCACACAGTGTCCTATACCTTAACGGTAAGTTCTTGACCACCTGGATTGGTGGATGCATTACTCCTACTGTCAGACACCAATACCATCCTCTAGGACCAACCGGTTTAAATTGAATTCACAACAGTTCGCAATTACCTAAAAAATGATTTTTTTTTTAAATCACACTATAAAACATTTAACTTCTAACCTGTAGTTCAAGACTTCCGGAAAGAGAATTTCCCAGTATAACAGGGGCTAACTATACTAAGCAAGGATAGCCATTGCAGTGAATTTTAGGCATTCATTTCAGAATCAGTGCCCTTGCAGTGATTTAGTATACAGGAATACTTTCCTTGGAGCAAGTTATTTGGTGCATCTTTATCCTGTGCATTTTAGGGGCCTATTCTACCAGTGGATCTTGGGACTCTTGAAGTTACTCTCATTCTGGCACTGATTTTCCTGTAGTTTTATAGGGCAATTTCCAAATGAAAGGCACGCTTGCTAAGGGTGAAATCAGAATTATCAGCAATGCAAATCGATAACTTGTAACACTTAAGAGAACTGTTGTAGTTGACATGAGGTCTAAAATTAAGTACTTTCTCGAGAAAGACTGCAAAAATATTTAGCGCATGTGTTTACATGTGCATAGACACTAGCCACTGTACAAGCACAGCGATCTAAAAGTATCTGAGCTGATTTCTGTTTCAGTGGTTTTTTTTCCCCACTTGGACAGAATCAAACTTCCCATGTTCAACTGCACTATATTCAGTGACTTGTAAAACTATCCATGGATAGTTTTACCACTGACTGGCATTACCTCCTGCACCCTGAACAGCAACCTACTCTGGAGAGTAGCAAGAACAGTTCTCTCTAGTACAACAAGAGCATGGACACACACCACTACTTTGTCCCACTTCCTCCATTATTTCTCCCCTCCTCTTTCTCCTCAACTCTTCCCCTTCCCCCCCTCACTGTGAAGTAATTATTGATCTTGGGAATAAATTTTCCTTAAGAACAGGAAAACCTCACACTTGTCAGTCTGAATAAGGGATGTGCAAAATAGAAGTCATTTCCCTGAGGCAAAGATCTTCAAGTCATGCCTAGCTTATACTATCTAGTTTTTTTCAAGCTCTTGAAACATTTGGCACATCAAAGCCTTGATAAGTGACTGGAGTCTTGTGGCATTATCACAGTCTAATTAACATAATTATATAATAAAGTAGAAGTTAGAAATGCTTGTTTTTCTTATTTTATTTCAGATTTTCTACTTACTCATTGAAATCTCCTTCCTCCTCAAGAGCGGTATTCAACCTCTTGGGCAAGAGGGTAGAGTAACAAACTTTTACTGCATTTAAAGGTTGCCACTAATACTGCATGCCTAAAAGGGCAGCCACAGCAGTTACTGGACTCAATACATGAGTAACTAGGTTAAAATTTATAGGTGTTACATACAGGTCAAACACCTATCATTTAATTTTCTCTTTTGGCCTTACATTATGAAATACTTCCAAGGTGATTTACAAAAAAAAAAAAAATCATGCTGTGAATGCTTCCAGTCTAAAACACATAAGAAGCAAAGGTAGTCTTGAAACTAAGTCTTTCCAGCTTTCCCTTTTAAAATATAAATTGCACTTCTTATACAAAGCAATTCAAAGTCTAAGTTGTAATAAAAATTTGAAGCTGCCTTACTGTACTAAAGAGTATTTATGTTAACCATCTGAAGTACAGGTAATTAGTTTTCAGCCATACTGCATATGCAGCCATATGCTCTATACCTTTCTGCTTTAAGAGGGTCTACCATCAAATGCCATACCACTGCGTGGGTACCGAACAAAAAATGAATTTAAGGCCTTTATCTCCACAAGGAGCCGAGAACTGTGGCATAACCCATGATCAATACTTAATATGCAAATTAGCATGCCCCCACCCAGGGCTCAAAAAACAAACAAAAAACCAGTCATTCTTTCTAACGTTTGTCACACAAGACAGTCATACTATCAGCAAGCAACAGTGCCAGTTAAGCATTTTTAAGGTCTCAAAAATTCCTAGCAAAGGACACTTCTGAGAAAGATATCTTCAAGATTTGGTTTTAAAAACAGACACCACACTCGCATTCAAGGGACATTCTTCACTTTTAGGCCTTTGTCACAAATCTGAATCTTTATTGTTCTGAAATAAATGCTATAAACATAAGACTCAAAACAAAAACTCCAACTTTCAGTCTCAGAAGAGGTGTGGTTCAATGCCCATATCACATGTAACAAGAAAACTTCCTTAGAAAAGGAAAAAAAATTACTGTAAAGTCTTTCATAAGAATGAAAATGCAATCCTTTGTTTTTCTCATTAGTTTGTGTAGAGGTGGGCATCAAAAAAAACTTTTGCATTTTCTTCTGAATTGTTCTTGCTATGACGCTTGACGAACCTTTTGCCATTCAACAAATTCATCCAGAAGTACAGGCCCTGCAAACGCATGAAATAGTTATATTTAAAAACGTCTTTAAAACATGTTCTCTTAATATATGAAGGTCAATCCGTATGGTCAAAAACTTATGGAAACCTCAAAATATGACTACAATCATTTCAAGCCAAAGGTGTCAAAGAACTACTTGAACACACTTCATATGGAACTATGAAGAAAATGTTCCTGATGCATTTGACAAGTGAAGTGAACCACATAGAAAACTAATAAGGTTATGTTGTAAACCGGAGGAAGTAATTCCTTCTTGCTAGAGCTTTAAAAACTGCATATAATTAAACACAGGACAAGATCCAATGCCTAATGCAATTCAATTCTATTGTAATTGACTATCAGCCAGAATAGAGTTTAGACTCATCAACCATTTCCCAAGTACTGGCAGGTAAGGTACCTTATAATTCAACCAGAATCTTTTATGTATCACTACAGAATGCAAGTTTGCTGCAAGTCTACAGTTTCATATATCAAGTAGCTTCACTTGATCCTCACCTGAACATAAGCTGGCAAAAGTATACCATCATACCACTAAAACTCTACTGAAATTAGCCACCACCTTCAAATAGCAGATGTTAACAGGACAGCTCTTCTAAGCATTGCTGAAGAAGAAATATTTTACACTTTACAATATTGTTTCTGTTACAATAATTTAATGTGCTCATTTGTGCATCTTGAAAATATCAGAACAACAGTTGAATAAGCAGAATGTTATGAATACTTACATGCACCATCTTCATCATAGTTGCTAAGATCTGCATGGACAGTTCTGCTGAATTCTAACACATTGTACCACTGATCCTTGTTCATAACTCTATACTTCGATTGCTAGGGAAAATAATTTAATTTAAACATATTAAAATGTCAAAAGACATTTGATAATTTCTGGTTTTTCTTGTGTCATCCTGAGTAAGTTCCTAACAAATAATGTAATGGATAATAATATCTGCTGTTTATTTCCTTGGTTTTCCAATCTTAAGACTACACAATACCTACTTCCACAGTTCTGAAACTGTTCAGCAGTCTTTTGGAAGAAGATCAGAACAAAATTAAAATACCAGATGACTACAGAAGTCACTACTCTGGTGCTTCAAAAACCGGTAATTTTCACTTTGCCCTGAAACAGGGCATGCTTAGCTCAAATACACTTCCAGAATGATCAGTTACAGAACCTTATTTTCTCCAGGGTACAATATAGCACGATCACATTGCTTCATTGTACTGACTTGAAGCCAGAGGGAACGGTCTCTAGCCTAGTATGCTCCACAATCCAACTAAACACATCCTCGTTGCTGGTTATAAATCACTTGCAGCTTAGCTGAGAAGATCTAAATGTTCTATAGATAACCAGAGCTCAAGGTACCTACACATTGTATCTACACACATAGATCACATCTTCCTTTCAAGGGAGGCACTGCAGTCACATATTGCAGCTGCAAGGGTTAAGGAGATAAAGGTATTTGCGCTCTCTCATGAGCGATGTAGGTACGTAAAAACTAAAGAAAAACACCAGCCTAATCTCCTCCTCACAGAGGATCCCGAAAGGTCACCTTAATACAGACTCAAGGCAAACTTGAAATTCAGCACAGACGTAACCGAAGAAAACTGCTAGGGCTCTTCTACTTAATTCTAGGTTTACCTTTATAGCCCGATAATGATGAAATTATAGCTGCTTTTGATAACAGAAACCAGGGCAGGGCGGGGGAAAAGCAGAGAAAGATTTATGACACATACAAGAATATCTGTTTCATAACGATGCCAACGAAGGGGAAAAAAAGCAACACGGATACATTCATGAACAAAACAAACCCTGAAACTTTTTCATAGGACAAGCCAGTATGCCATCATTCAGAAAGTCAAGGAAATGTGTACCTCCAGGTATTGGTAAAATACTGAAAACAGTGGCCAAGTTCTTCCAAGCAGAAGAGCTAACATGGATTTTGCAGTATCAATATCAAGACTTCGTTGGTCTTTATCCTAAGATTAAACATACAAGGAAAGCATAAACAACACTTGAATGCAAGCTCATTCAGTAACTGAAAAAAGAACTCTGATATTCCAGGAGTCTTACCCTTGCAAAATCAAAGGCATATCTGTAGATATTCTTAAAGGATGAAATGTCATTCAATTGTGACCGCAAGAAATCAAATTTACTCTGTAATTTTTCTGTACAGTCACACCTTAAAATAAAGGAAAAAAACATTAGATGCTTGAAAGAATTTTTGGACAGAGAAAGCAGTGCCAAGAAATGGAAAAAACTAAAAATCACCAAAACACAATCATCAGATTTGCAGAGGAGTAATACCACGAAAGGGACTTAAAGAACGTTAAACATGCTCAACATCTGCAACTTAGTGACATGATAAATGTTTGGGTTCCATAAGCAGGATTTTTTAAGATGTATCACTATGCAATACAAAGTCTCTGCTTTTACTTCTCAAGTAGTCTTTTTATGCAATTTTTATTTATGCCTAGCAATACGTTCTCTTTCAATCATTCCAGAAGTTTGAAGAAAACACTATTCAATATGCAGGAAGGTGACAAAGGCCAGCTTTCAGGAAGTGCTCCATGTTATATCCCTTTGCACAAAAAGAACTTTCAGGACTGTACATAGTTATGAATTGTAGAGCTAAGCAGGCACTGTGCAAAGCTTACTGAAGTTTGCTAGTGTTTTACGATTAATAAATACAACCTCCAATAAGCCTATAGCTTGGACTAATCAGTACCTGTTAAATTGAAAACTCACAGGTTCTACTGCGAATTTCCAGGTCTGCTAGTTGACGTGATAACCCTTTGGTAAGAACACCTACAACTTTTTACATATTTCACTTGGAAAGGATTCTTGTTTCCATGTAGAAAATGGGTTAGGTTCACCAACACAAGAGAATGTAATCTACACATGAAAGTCTTTTCCTCCAGGAAAGACTCACTCAAAAGAATAGTTGTCATATCAAGTTTTGTTCTTAGAAAATAATGGCTTGTTTTGACTCAAACCAAAATAACAAAAAACAAAAACACGCAACACCCTGAAACCCCCACACCCCAAAACATTCCATCTTGCCCTGTATTCTATGTGACAAAAGCAACACTTTGGGAAACAGAGAGAAGGCATACACGGATGCTTCCTTTGGTGTACATGGCAGCCTTCTGGCAGTCTGCCTCTCAGGGAATGCATTTGTATCTTTGCGTTTAACAGCACCTTATGGACTTGTCAGAGAATCCCAAAGAAAAGGACTTCAGAAGTACTGCAGAATGCGTTGCTAAGATGCTGTACTCTGTCCACAGCCAGTACTTTATTCCTAGGTTTACTAGCTGCCTCTCGGCCTCTGAACAATTGTGACCCTGGAAATACAGCTTGGGCTAAGATCTTGCAAAATGCTAAAAATTAACGTTAATAAATAAAACAATTAGCTAATTAGGTTGCACATTTAAATGACAAACTAAAATATTTTATAATCCATGCATTAAATTGAAAACAAGTTTTGTTCATTAAGCTTAGAGTACGTTTACAGTCCTAAAAATATTTTCACTTTTTTGTCTTCAGCCACCTAACTGGCAGCTATCAGTGTAATGAATATAAATAATGAGATGCCATTACAGCAAACATATCTTTCCTTTCTATGTTCAAACCTTTGCAGTGCAATAACATTCTCCTCTACTCTTGAAGATGTCTGCCTATCAAGCACAAATCTAAATGCTTGAACTGTTAATATGTGATGAATTACATAAACTAAAGTGGGTTTACCACATTTTTTTCAAATATGACCTGAGATTGTTTAACATGCCATGGACACACACACTTCAATATATTTACATTTCCTACAATATTTTGTTAAAATACTGATTAGAAATTTAAGCACACAGTAAAATTGCTATAATTGTCCATTATATTATTGGCTATATACATATTGCAATGCAGTAGTCATGATCTTGGCAAGGTTGGTATGAAAGTGTGCCAATTACGAAGTCTTAAGACTCTTGAGGTATTTTCAGTCTATTTAAAATCAATCAGTCAAATGGATCACATTCAAACAGAAAAGCATCACTGAGGCCTGATGTAGGAATACAGAGGGTTACTGACACAAAACATCACAGCCACTTAAGACATTCCCACACCTGGCCATGGATTCCCTCCTTCACACTAGTGTGTTGAGAAGTTTGGCAAACTTCTTTACGGAGATCTAGCTGTTTGTGTGGCTGTTCCATAGCGAAGATGATAGAATTATCTTCCTAACAAAGTATGGGTAAATTCAAAGTTTTTGTTTTTTTTAAAAGACAGGACAAGCTTCTAATTAAGATTTGAAATGACAGTAAACTGCTATACAGAAATTAGAACAAGAAACAATTTATTGAACTGGCTTTTCCTGAAAAGTAACATGACAGAAAGTTATCGGAAAAGCAACGAAGCTATTCCAGACATAAGCTTACTACATTCTCTTCACATCCCTATATTACATGTAGAGATGTATATATCTATACATACACATATATACATATGGAATACAGAAAAATTAACACCAGAAATTAGTACTACTTTAATTTCTATTGAGGTATAGCTTATCTGAGGCATAGGCAACATGGGCAGAGTGATGACACATCAACCACTTTTCAGATATTCCAATGTTTTGCATTTCAGGATTACACATATATACCTACCTTTTCTCTTACTAAAAAGAGAAACTAGTAATATATATATACACCAGTGTATCAAATGTCTATCAAAAAAATGAGGCCCAAGTCAACCAAACATTAAGCCACAAACCTCTACTGATGGTAGCACATAATTAATTGTAACGTCTTTTAATCTACAAAAGTTTCTCCCCCCATCTTCCAGCCCTCTGAAGGGATCAAAGGAAACAGATCCATTTTGCCCACCCATTCATCTTCATGCATTGAAATAGGATCGCCTGAAATGTAGGTTCCATGTTAAAATTGGAACATTTAAAGGTCCAAGGAAGTAACAGCTTAAGAGCACAAAAAGACATCTTTATGCCCCAGCAGTGCTATAATTTCACTATGTCAATTGATTTACAGGTCTGGACTCCAGAAATTATTTATATTGTAGTATATACTGAATGTTATACTAGCACTAAATTGTATTTACACTATACTTCCTGTTAGCACCACAGAAATGAAAGGGAAGAAAGGGGATAACAGGGAGAAAGATTGAAAAGTAGAAAAGGAGCTGGTATTAGCTTATTAAAACAATATTGAAAAAGTCAAATACATTTTTTTTTCCTGCAAACTGCACAAGGTATAACATCTACTTTCCTGCCTCGACCTGTGGCTTTTCTTGTACCTAAAATATAATTGAGGTCATGCCACTAACTTTCCCTCAGCTGGGATCTAATTTGGCTCTCTTCGCTTTACCTGGACACTTATTTTCAAAACAATTTTATACAGAGTAACTTTTAAAAGCTCAACCTTCCTGTAAAATTTGGCTCAAACGCCAAAGTTCAAAACACAACCAGAGGGAAGTGCCATGACACCAGTGCTCAGACAGTAGCTGCATAAGCCTCACTTTTTTCCATGCTAAGTTGTTTGTTTGCATTTGTCTTGTTGAGACAATGACTTGTACGGTATTTAAGAAAATTCTCAATTTTAATGACTTTTCCTTCACTTCAGTTGTATAGATGCATCTCTTCTTTGTAGGTCTACAGAGCCTACAATTGATAAATATATGAGTGTGTTTCATCTCCTTTAACTTAGATACCTGAAAGGTAAAGGTTCAGCTTTTAAGTTATTTACCTTTCACTTCCTTTAAGGCAAGTATAGATAAACAATCATTTCCCAAGGGCTATTCATTTAATCCTAACAAGGTGTCTAAAATAGCTAAAAAATTGCTAGGCAGAGGTACTTGCTTCTCTCCGCTGACTATGAAAGGAGCTTCAGCTGATTAATTTAGATTCGGACAACCAGCTTTTACATATGTAAAAGGTAGGATTCACCCTACTTAACAGGATATACTAGAATCCTTACTTTTGCAACTCAAGTTATTTAAGTGGCAGAAAACTGCTACCCCCTATTGCTTGATCAACCTTAGCTTTGACAATGTATACCTCATCACATTTATTTTTCTCCTCCTCTCTAAAGAGCTTCATCAGCATATCAAAAACATACAAAAAAGAGGAAGGATTTAACTTCAAAACTCAGGTGCCAAAATGTTGGTATCTGCATTTAGATAGCTTAAACTTAGGTGTCTAAGCTTTAGGTGTTCGCATTATAATTGGTAGAGAGGTAGCCAACCCAGCCTAAAGAGCAATTCAGATGACAAGTCACTACGCGTCTGCCTGAGGGTAAACCGACTATCTCCCTAGGCTCCACTGTATTGAATAGATCTCCACAGATTTCAGTAAGAGCTTAAGAAATCCAGCTCTTGCATATACACCATACTTTTACGTATCTTACTCTGGAGCTAATCTCACCCAGCCCTGTTCATACAACTACATTACGCATTTCACCTATTTTGAAATAAGGTTTCTGTGATATAAATCAGACTTAAAGCACACACTAGACTTTACATTGTAATGTCATTTCTTCATGCAAAATTAAAAAGGAAATTGCTGTGCAGGAACGTATTAATACTCTGCTGCTCTCAGAGTATAAATCCTTGTCTTTCAAAAGATAGTCAAACCTTTCAAAGAGGAACTAGATTCCTCATCCCAGATGGAATCCCATATTATGATTCTCCCTTCCCAGTAAGCCCAAACAGCACAAATCTACAGATTTATGTTCTCTTTTCAGGCCAATGAATCTTGAATTTTTCTGCAAGCATCACTGCTTCATGCAGATGCTCAGTCTACAGACTGTTACTAGATCACACTCATGGGAGGCAAAACATAGATTTTTAACTGTTTTGAGCTTAAGCAGGTGCTCAGATCACAAATCTGTTTATACAAAAATGCACACCATTACAGCATTTTCTATCTTAAAATATTTAATTAATATGACCAGCTCTACTCTTAAAAAAAATTATTAACCTTAGCAAGTTATTGAAACAAAGCAGACATAGAAACAAAGTCTGTAGTGTTGGCTCTGAAGAGCTGCCAGATTTCATACATCTTTCATGCTTCGTGTTTGCTAGGCTGACTGGCCCTTGAGAGCTTCCAGTTTAGCATAAACATTTTAAGTACTTCAGAGAAGTGAACCAACTATATCCATTCACTGCACCTAAAAGTTTACACGCCTAAACTGATTCCACTCTGGGGCTGTGCACCTAGAATTTAATCCCTGAAGTCCTGAAATTCAGGCAATTGCATCTTTCCAGCAGTCAGTAAGTGAAAGCACTTCTGACAGTCAAAAAACAATCTAGGCACCTATTGGAAGCCTACTCCCAAATGAAATAAGATTTCACAAAAGAGTCAGACCAGGCTCACTTCCTCAGTAGTGATAGATAACCAAAGCGTAGCTGCCCATTATAATCTTCTAAACCTATTCAGAACTCTTCAGGCAAATATATGCCATGTCTAAGAGTTAAATCACCCCGCCTCTTTCCCAGCATACTGTAGCTACAGCAGTAGGTCCCTGACATTTTCAATATTCCACGTCAGTATTATAACATGAATGGTGTATGGGGGACTTGTTATCTTGTTGTACCATGAAAACTTTCATGAAGAACAAAGTAAACAGAAATTAATGATTTAATCAAGCCTCAGCAAAAGCTAATTGAGTTTCATTAAAGAAACCATATCTTAACCAGAGGGCTATCCCATCAGAAATTCCTACAAACAGCAGGATGTGAGAAGAATCTCAAAGAAGGTAACTTATAAATTATAAAAGCTTTATTTAACCTAAGCACTAAGTGTTGCTGTTGATTTATTATAAGTTACTATTATTTATTAGATACCAAAGATATCAGTCTTCATTATAAAGTAACACAATAATCATCACTTTCTAGAATACCAATGATAAGATATACTTGTGGGTATCTACAAATCTACTTATTTTTGTCCACTAATTAGAGTGACGTTTTAAAATACCTTTTGTAAGAAAAAAAACACCCAAACCTGATTTAGTAAAGTTAACCAAATCTTAACCATTTTAGCAAATTCATTACATTAACAACTTGATCAAAAACAGTAGCTGCTTCCAGCTGTTGACTGAAACCAGAGCTAAAGGCAACAGCGTCTGCATCTTATTACAAATCCACAAGTAATTAGGGCAAAAATAATTAAAGCTACTGGTTCAAAAAAATTTGAACATTTTATTATATATGTAAAAAACACTTACTGTAATGAGGTCATCCCCTTTAACCATTCTTCCTTGGTAAAAAATCCCATGCTTTCAGCCTCTAGTTTCCAGGCTAAAACTAACATAATAATCTAGGGGAGAAAAAAAAAAAGCAGGGCAGGGAGGGAGGAGGGAAGAAAAAGTCAGCATATGAGAAGAAAACACTAAAGCGATATAAAAGGTTGATTTCTAGATGTCTATTATCAATTATATCAGTTAAAGATATCAATTAATAATTTAACTACGTGCAATTTTCCCCTTCATTTTAAGTTTCTGAAGATGCAATCACTGTGCTAAAAAACAAAAATATAATTTATGTATCCAGCTGAAATTTTGCAAAACCTCCTAGAAGCAGGAAAATATACAATTCTTTGCTTACTGAAGTTAGAGTTTTACATAAAACTAAGTCTAATCAATAACCCCTCTAAAGTGATATCAGTATCCTGCAAGAAACCTACATTTTCAGGCTCAACACCAATGTCTTCACAGAACTTTTCCATCCCTTCTGGCCCCACAACTTCATCAGGACCTTCAAAACCAAAAAGGGACCAGATCAAAACATAAGTAATGTTTGAATTCTGCACAAGTAAAAATTAAGACTACAATTTGCAACAGCTGTCTTTAAAAAGAACCCAACTAAATTACAGCTTTAAGCAGTTTTTGTATTCAAATACAACCAACATAGCAATTGTTAAGGCACCTGTACCACATACGAAGTAGTGCTATGAACTAAAAGCAAAACTAAAACCAAACTTTAGGCTATGAAATGCTTCCTCACAACAGCGCACAAGCTAGCTTATTTTGCTTAAATGAGTTTAAGCCTGTACTGAGCTTTATATCATCATAGCTAAAATATAGTAACTGTGGCAGTCAATCCGTTTTAAGACAATTCAGCCAACTCAACACTACGCTGAAGTTACCATATGCATAATATCTTTCCAGTAATTTTTTTTTTGTTTAAATCAACGACAAGAGAGTTCTATCTGTGCTAGTACTACAGGTATTACTCTTATCTTTAAATGTTGTTAACATTACGGATTAGCGCTAAAACAGAGAGGATGAATCTTTAAATTTTTAAAAAAAACCCTAATCTTGTATTTTCCCCATATTATTTAGCATTATAAAGAAAAATCCCAAAACTGGTAAGCACATTAAACACACACAAAGCAGAAGAAAGGCCTATGACTAAAATTGAGATAAACTTGACTAACACAACAGATAGTGTTGGGCTGTCTCTTCTCCATTTTAATACAAAGATGTCCTCCAAAAAGCAGCAGAACTGGCATATTTAAAAAGCACGTACAGACATTCTGCAGTTCATCCGCCAAATTGTTTCTGTAAATCTCTCCCTGGCTTTAGAGCTAAGCCTATTCCAAAGATGATTCCTACTGCACAACCATATATTATTAGAAGGCCTGCTGACATGCTATTTTCATGTGTCTTGGATAAATATGTTAACATGAGTACCTGTGTAAAAGGTAAAGGCTGTATTTTCTGAACATACCAATTTATTTTTTTTGGCAAATTCTGCTACTTGCACATAAATTATAGACTGTTCAATAAATTCTACAAAACACATTGGGTATTTATTGACACTATCCCTTACTTCAGTAGCAACTGTCATTTATTTAAAAGACACTACTTCTAACACTTTTGAATGAAACATTGTTCGGGATATCAAAAGTGTTGGAAAAGATTCTCATATAGCAAAATAATAAAAGCATCTATTAGTGTCTGCAAGAGAGGAAAAAAAACAAGAGGCTTGAATCATGAACTACTTCATTATCCTTTACATTTTATTATAAATAAAATCTATTTAGAGTAGGTAAATAAACTGCTATCTAAGCTACCTTTCCATGTCCTAATTTATTCTAATTGCTTTTCTTAAATCAAGAAGCAGAACTATTCATCTCACTCAATGCTGCCTACTGGGCAATACTAGTTATTTTATTTTAAGGAAAGTCATAGTAAGTTATAAACCATAAAGCGAAAAAGTGTGCAAAAGAATAGGTACTGAGTAGTGAATAGTAAAAGCTATACTAATTTAAGTACATGTTATGACTATGTGAATATAGATGCATTTATTATGTCTACAACAGTATGAAAAGCAAAAATGCAAGTAACACTTAGTTTTAAATATGAGTGTATTATATATTACCTGCATATTCATAAAACCAAGCCAGGCACTTTTTGCTTGAAAAATGTTCCTCTCCGCTTATTACTTTACCAGAGGCTTGTGATCTGCAATAGCTTATAGAAACATAAGGATAATTGAAGCTTTATTTTAAATACGAGAAATCGGAAATAATTTATAATTGAAATCCAAATGGCTTATTTATTAGTTCAAACTATGTTAACTATTTCATGAAGTCAATACACAATAAATAATGAAGCTGAAATTATTAAGGGGCAACTGTGTGTCATAATAATTCAACACTTGTTCATAGAATAAAATTAGCTCGGAATGAAATAAATTAGATCACGAAAGGGCTGTAACTCTTTCCTTTTTTTTTTTTTTTTTTTTGAAATGTAGACATACTGTTACCTTGTAGACATTAAACCAAAAAAACCCACACGCAGATCGCAGATGGTCAAAATATCACTACGCAGTAATTCAAGTGCCTGCTTATCTACTTACATTTATACATACAGGCATTTGTTAGGTGTCTAATAAGCCTGATCTTCAAGAGTGCTGAATACACACCATTCTCATTTAGGTCAACAGGAGCTGCAGAGTTTGACATATTTGAAAGTCAGGCTATCTATATTTAAGCATCCAAATTTGGGATGAAAACTCAATTAATTTGTTTACATTAAATATGTAATTACATCTCTGTAAATTCTGTAGATGTTTAAGGATGGTTGGTATACGTACATGAGTGGAGCAGTTAACACACACGTACACGAGTGGAGCAGTTAACACACAATCTGTGAAAGACCAAAACTGCTCAGCACACACAGTCTCCCCCTATTGACCTCATTATGAGACATAAAACCCAGTTGGCCTAGGAAGTGAATTTGCATAATTTATCATTCTTTGAAAGAATACGTAAAATAACTGTTTTCTTCAAGTAAAAAGACCAGCCACATGAAAGCATTTCTAATCAGTAAAGAATTACAGCACCTTTACAATACACACTCCTCTCAAATACAAATGATATCTTTAAGGACATGCTAAGATTATTTCAAAGAGTGAGGTGAAAGTTAACTGTATGAGAGGATCTACAATTATGCAGCTCCTACATGGCAATTTTAAAAGGAAAAATATAGAGCAAGAAAAGAATAGTTCAATTCTGAGAAATTCTGAACAAACCATCCAATGTATTGCTTTACAATTCACAGGGAAAGAAACACTAAGATGAAGCCTTATGCGATGAAAGCTGCAAATAAAGATGTACAACAGACAAATATCCATTAAATTAACATTAAAAAAACCACAAGTCTGTCTCCATGAAGAAACAAAGCCATACAATAAGTTGTTCTTTGTTCGTTTTTATCTAGTTCAACATATTTACAGTTGTAATAATTGCTTTTATTAAAGAATATGAGCTCTATATTAAGAATATCATTAACATTTCATGATTAGCTAATATGAACTTCTATTAACATCATACTTTTTGCCCAATGAGTAGTAGTTTCCTGCAGACCCTTTTTTGTTTTTCAAAGGGACTTTCAAAAATGTTTTTTAAAAGGAAAACTAAGTTAAGATGATAGAATTTCAGTCACCATTGCTCAAGAAAGATGAACTGAAACTAGCACAGATGCAGAGAAGGGTTATGATGAGCAGGGAAACAGAAAGCCTATCTTTCAGTATATTAACCCGAAGAATTTAGCTTGTTCAATTTAACAAAGTGAAATATTTGAAAACACATAAGTGCTCTCTCCAAATACACTCACTACGAAGTAGATAATGCTGGCACAAGAATTTTTATTAACTGGTCATAAATAACTTTACACTGAAATTAAAAGATCACTAAGTACTGCAAAAGTGAGCTCTAGAACAGTTATCCAAAAGAAACAGTTATGGCAAAATAAAAGCCTAAACGCTTCTAACCTCATATTTGGTCAACCTGTAAAAAAGACCACATGCTACAGTTTCTGGCAATAGCCGTTCCTGCAGTGACGATTTGGCAAGTCCTTTCTATTCTTATGTCCTTAGGATGTTTGCCATAACCACTATTTTACTGACAAAAAATTCTGACAGATTAAGAAGGCATGCATTGCCCTTAGGGAGGCTGCACTGGAAGCTCCTGCTACACGATATTAACATGTTATCGTTCTAATGGTAATTTTCAGGTACCAAGGCATAACGGGTCTTTTTTACGCTACTTGATGAACAAGACACTTTAAACTTCTGTATTTATTACTGACATCTTCCTTGATTCTGTGTTGGAGTGTGCTGATCACCTTTTCTATTTCACTTTGGGGGGGG